TGAAAACTGGCAATGGTCTGAAGCTTTTAAGTGGAGGACTATTGCTAGTAGAAGAGGGGAGGAAGGTAAAGACTAAAAAAAAAAGGATGAAGGAAGGCTAATTGGGTATACTGGGTATGATGTCTGCTGGTTTTAGCTGTGAGTGACTGTTTTGGTTTGCAGCAGTAGAAGGAAGCTCTATGAGTGGAGTTCTACTTCTGCCATGAGATTGATTCCGCATCTGGAAGATGAAATCTCATGTTTCTTGGAGTATCAGAATTGGATTGGAAGTGATACCCTATGTCTTGTTCGTATCCCATTCATCTAATCTACCTTAGCTTTTAGTGATTTGCATCTGTTTATTCCACATTAAATATTGTGTAGTATATGGGTGTAGTAATTTCTGTGTGCGTTATTGGTATTGTGTTTGTGCGTAATATTGTAATTAGTAATTCGTTGATGCGTTCTACGGTTTAGGCTTGTGTGTAATGTTATATTTTTAGGGTCCAAATTTACGGGTGTACGGTGGTGTGTGCTTTGTAGGACATATTTGAAGTTGGGGTTCATTAATGTTTGTTTTGTTTTTATTATCCGGAATATATTTTGTTTTTTTTTTTGGTTTTTTTATTTTTTGGTATGTAAGGTATCTTTAATCGTGATTGACTTGTCATGTTCTCATTTATTATAATATTGTTCATCGTATTTTTACTAGGAATTAGTGTGTGCGTTCTTAGATAGAAGTTTGTGCGTAATACTGTAATTGCTATTTGGTTGGTGCGTTTTTAGTTATAAGCTAGTGCGTAATAATGGGATGCTGAGATCCCGATTCTGGTCTGTGCGTTGGGGGGGAAAAGTGGGTGCTCAGGAGTTTGGTTATTTTTTTATCTGTTATGTGGTAACTTTTTGTTGCTCATAGTGCATTTTTTTTGTATGTCTAGGTGTCACGGCTGCAGAGACGGTAGATGCGGTAGAGGCTGTACATGTGATGCCCTCCAAGGATGTTGAAGCACCCCCTGTTCCGCCACCGGACACGAATTTGTATGTGCGTTCTAAGAGTGAGGTGTGTGCGTAAGACTGTAATCCCATACTGGTTGGTGCGTCCTACGTATTACGCTTGTGAGAGGCAGTCGCTACGTTGTACGCCATTATTCAAGTCCAAAAAATAATTAACGTGTTTACCCAAATGGATGATTACATAATTGTAATTCTTTTACTGACATATTTGAATAATTGTTGTCATTTTTTTGACTGCTAGAATTCATATATTTTTTTTTGTATTGTATTGTTATAATCTTAATATTCACCTTCTAATTTGTATCCCATCCATCGAATACACCTCAACTTATATTTAAGTCACATTACATATTGTGTAGCGTATGTGCATTCTTGGAGTGAGGTGTGTGCGTAGTACTGTAATTTCATACTGGTTGGTGCGTCCTACGTATTACGCTTGTGCGTAATGTTGTACATTTTGTAATTGGCTAAAAATTATCGGTCCTCCCTCGAACCATGGCTAAATATTTGTAGAATGCATTTATTAGGTTAGTTTCATCTTTGTTGTTATGTGGTGTACTCTCTTAGCCTTGATCTTTCTCATTCGTCGTGTCGGCATTTGCATATATTCCTGCCATCACGCACATACCACAGATAATACGCACACGCACCTGCCGGTCGTGAACAAACGCACACTCCATAATATTATTCCACAAGACACACACTCCATCGTAACAAAACCCCCCACAACGCATTTCATGCACAAACCGACTACCAACCATACCGTCTAATTCATTCATATTGAATATACTACTTCCTTTCGCGCACATCCATTACAATACTAATTTTAGGGACAAACTACATCATTCGAGGCATACCCATTATAATTCGGATGCATATACTGCACACTCCGCAATAAACGAACGCACAAACCAGCATTCAAGCACTAATCAAATAACACACATATCGTCTACTTCATACAACATGAGCACACAAGGAATTCAGCGCACATCCATTATAAAAATTATTTCTGGACCCTTGATGAATGTCACACCGCATCAAAACTCTTGCATATTACTGCGTGTGCGTACTTCTATTTTCTATAAAACCACACACAAAACCACAGAAATGCTTCGTGTTCCCCTAGCATATTACTTTAAATACAACCACCAACAAAACTCAGTGACTACGCACACGCCGTACGACCCGTATGCACAGACTAGCGTTCAAAATTCATTACAAAATTGTGTCAGCAAATCTCATACCTCTTGTAGTTGACATGTTCATCCATTGCAATTTCGTCCGGCTCACCCACCAAATGCTCTTGGATGGACTCCTACAGCTTTTGTGCATAGTTGACTACTACTCATTTCCATCATATTTGTGGTATCTAATTATGGCAAAGATTCCAATCTAATTCTAATCAAAATTACCACATTAATACAATTACTTTTACACCCTCCTATTATAAATATGCCCTTATTTACATTATATTCCTCATTCAATCTCATCCATCCATTATAACTCTACAAATGGATGGGATGTCATCTCACCATCTCATTTAGTAGAGGCGTCTCATGGGATTCGCATCATATATAGGCAACGGTTCCCATGAAACCCAATGATAAATGAGATCATGAGATCTCATCACATCCATTAATAGATTACTAATGGATGGTTGTGATAGAAAGACACATCTGAACTAATTAAGGATAGATTTCAAACTCAAGGGTTAAAGAGTAATTATAGTATTGTGTTAATTTTGGTTATAATGAAATTATATTCTTTAGCATAATAATAGGGATCATATTAGTTGTAATAACTAATAATATATTGTAGTGTGAGAATTTCAGCAGGCATCTGTAATTTTGTTGTAGGTGTTTTTTCACGATGGTTTGTGTATTGCTGTGCAAGAGTGTGTGCAACTTGCTGTACATGAAACTTTTTTCCCCGATTCGTTATTAAATTTTGTTGTTTGTTTGTAAAAAAATTATTGTATTGCGTGACCGCAAATTCATGTTAGTTTTAACTTCTTCTTTTTTTTTTTTTTTTAATGTTTGAAAGAAAGCAAAAGCAGTGGGTAATATATATGTTTTTTTATGGCGGTTTGTGTGTGGTTGTTGTATGACGTGTGCGTAATATAGACTTGGGACATTACAATTTTTATTTTCCGAAATTGGTATTAGGTGTGTGTGTGTGTGCGAATTCAAGTTGTTAGTTTATAATTTTATTAAAAACATATTGTAAAGCAACTTTTTTTGTGGTTATTTTTACTTGAATTGAAATGTAGCGTGGTGTGTGCATAGGTCCGCAAAAGTGTGTGCAAATTCGCAAGTGGGTTGTTCATTTATGGGGAATCGCGTGTCCTTGTTTTTTTCAATGGAACATTGTAACATATCGGCTGGTAAGAATATAAAATGGTGGTGTAATTGGTAGTGGGTTTGCAATTGGTAAGTCTTTGTGTGTGCTATTTAGGGGGTTTGGCATTTGTAAGTGGTTTCTTTGTTTGTTTGTTTTTTGTTTTTGTTTTTTTTTTTTTTGGAGGTGGTAGGTGGGTGCAATTATGGGGTATGGCGTGTGCATATTTTTTTTTTTTTTAGGCGTGTGTGTTAGAACAATATTAGTCATGTCCGTTAGAATAGTTGGGCTTGTGCATTACATTGTACTATCATTTTAAACAGTAAATGAAAGAAAAAATATTACATTTACTATAACATTTTTGAGTTTACATTAACGCAAATTGGCGTGTGCATAACACGGTAGGGATGGAAAGTATAGATTGAATTATGTGTAACAATTAAGAACTCCAAACACACACCCAACCACTATAGCGCACACAAATTTGATAATGTAACTAAATAAAATTTGCTGAACAAAAGCTTCATGAATATGAGTTTCTCAGAATTACAAGAGGGAGTGAACTAGTTATTTCGTGTAAATGTCAGTCCTCTAATGTTTTGTTTTTTGTATGTAAGATGGTAATATACCAAATTTGGTCCTTGCAGACATGAAAAAAAAAAGTAAAATAATTTGAAAGTATGTTTTCTTTTTTTTTGAAAGCTACTGGTTCTATTACATTGTAGAATTGTAGAATCTGGTTCTATTACATTGTAGAATTGTAGAATCTGTTCATATAGTTTCTCAATTACTGAAACACAAAGAACCAATAACGCCTCCACTGAGGCTCGAACTCATAATCTTCCAAATGAAAGTCCAACTCGGGTACCATTAGACCACATAGTCCTGGTGGAAGTATGTTTTCTTTATTTGCTTCCTCATTTGCTACCTCTGGATTTCTATCTAAAAGAACACTAGAAAGAGGCCAATTTTCTTGCTTTCATCAGTACCCCAGAAATCAAATGACTCTTTCACTTCCTGTTGAGCAATGCCATAACAATTTTGGTCAAAAAATTAAGTAAAAGTCCCTTTTTAGAATCACATGCTCGCACTTGAGTGAATGTACGCACCACCCCACCATCAACTGCCAACCACTGTCAGGCTAAAAATCCCTAACACCGGGTACACACAAACGCAAAAATTCACGCTGGCACTGCCCCCCACGCCGGAAAACACAATACGTACAAAAACACACAAAAAAAAATGAGGAAAACCAAACAAAAAAGACCGAGGACTCAGAATACCTTGACGAAACCGGACGAACTGCCATTTTGACGCTTAAAAGGCCTGATGGTAGAACCCGCCATGGAGACTATTTGAATGCTACGGGCAGAGCTGCAGCAGATAAGCAATGAGCTCGTCAAACCGAAGGAGGCAACCTTGCGTGGATGGAAGGAGAAGAAACGGATGGGAGAGCTATGAAGGGGCGACAATGAGTGAGAAAAATCATGAAAAGGGATTTGAGACCCAAAAAAACACTGCACAAAGCCACAAACCGATACACACCCCGGAAATAATTATGGTAAAGTAATAAAACTAGTAATAAATGACAACAATGCCCCTGACATCATATAACACACAACGCACGTGTATTAAAATGCTACAAATCTGGTGCGTTGAAAATAAAAAATAAAGGATCAAGATCTGATCTCACGATCTCACCCGAATGGAGTGGCCTCACCGGATCCAAAATCTATATATATATATATATATATATATATATATATATATATATATATGTATATATATATATATATATGTATATATATATATGTATATATATATATGTATATATATATATATATATATATGTATATATATATATATATATATATATATATATGTATATACATATATATATATGTATATATATATATATATATGTATATACATATATATATATGTATATACATATATATATATGTATATACATATATATATATATATATATATATATATATATATATATATATATATATATATATGAAAAAGTTCAAATGCGGCGATGTCCTTTGGTGCGACGGAATTTTAGAATACACCAACAGTGTAAGGGAAACACACTACAATGAAATGCATAAAAAAAAAAACCAAAAAAATACACAACAGACCCAAAAAAAAATACACCATATAACTCACCACACCCCAATGATGTATTTTCGAACACTGTATGATGTTTTTACTCACACCTAATGGTGTGTTTTTGGTGATGCTTACCTAATTTGTGTGTGTTTTTGTGGTGTTCCGGTTACAAGTATTCCGATTGACCGATCCTTTGTATTTGTTTTTTTTTTTTTTTTGGAGGTATTTTTGTTCCGGTCTTGATGGGTTTTATACTGATCCGAAGGGTTTTGGGTTTTCATCCAGGGATTTGTATTTTTTTGCTTCTTAGTTTGTATATGTGTGTTTTTTTTTGGGGAAACTTTCACCAGGTGGTGGGTCTTGGCATTGGTCGGTGTGTATAGGGTGGTGCGGGGCGGCGACGAGGGTATGGTTTCTGGGTTAGGGTTCGGTTTTTTTTTTTTTTTTTTTTAAACGTTTAGGGTTTTGGTTACGGGGGTTCAGAAGACCCATCCCTAGATTAGGACGTCTGGATTAGTGCATGTGTCTTTGTTGGGTTTTTTTTTTTTTTTTCGCCGATTGCTGGGGTTTTGGCTCGTGGTTGGGGGGCGGCGGGGGGTGTGGCGGCAATGGGCGGTATGGTTGTTCGGTTAGGTTTTTTTTTTTTTTTTTTTTTTTAATTTCTGATAGTGCGGGGGGTGTTATTGGGTGTTTTTTGTTACCGGGGTCTTTTTTTTTCTTTTTGCATGGCTGTATTTTTTGTGGTGGGTGTGGGGTGGTGCGGTTGGGTTTCAAAGGGGGGTTTTTGTCTGTGCCTGAATTTCTTTTGCTTGTTTGTTTTATGTCAAAAGAAATTGAGGCTTCAAATGCTTGTTTTCATGGTTTGTGCGTAGTTGTGCATCACAGTGTGCTAGTTAGGCTAATGTGGACTTGGCATTACGCGATTATTTATTTATTTATTTATTTATTTTTATTTTGGTTGCTTAGTTTTAGAATGTTTTTTTTTTTTTTTTTAGTTTTGGATTTAGTGTTAAGGTCTTTTTTTAGGTATAATGAGCGGTATTCATCCATGGTTTTTGGTATGTGCGTTGTTGGGTTTTTGCGTGTGCACAAGGTTGTTGGTGGGCTATTTTTTTGCGTAGAGTAGAAAGCCGGGGCATTTTTTACTATTATGGTTTGTGCATTCTTGTTTTCGTGTGTGCACAATATTGTTTTATGTTAAAAGATTTTGAGGCTTCATATGTGTGTTTTCTTGGTTTGTGCATAGATGTGCATCACCGTGTGCAAGTTAGGCTAATGTGAACTTGGCATTACGGGGTTATTTTTATTTATTTTGGTTGTTTAGTTTTAGAATTTTATTTATTTTATTTTATTTTTATTTTTATTTTTTTGGGATGTAGTTTTAAGGTCTTTATGTTATGGTGTTTTTTTTTTTTTTTTTGGTTTCTGTGCATTATTTTTTGTCATTCCCAAGTGAGGTTGTTGTTGAGCCGGTAGTTGCTGTTGATGTGGTGGCACCTTTGCCACAGACCGATGCAGTCGAATTACCCCCTTAGCCCGCATAACCAGCCCCGTATTCGGATGGCTCAGATGTTGAGCCCGATGAAATTGATGAGGCACTTTTACCCCCCGATGGTCAGACCGATTAAGCGATTTAATGCTTGCCAAAGGAAAGCTGTTGTTGAGCTGGGGTTGGGAGAGCTTTTGAACCTACAAGTCCATGACATCCCGAAGCCATTGGCCAGGTGGTTGCTCTCCAATTTCGATCCCGTGGCCATGTGTTTACGGCTGGAAAATGGGTCGGTGATTAATGTGTCAGAGGCTGATGTCCATTCCATTTTGGGGCTGCTTGCCGGTGAGGTTGTTAACACCAAAAGGCAAAAGGATGATATGAGCGACACCCTGAAGGAATGGCGATCCAAGTTTGAAAAGACCAATCATGCTGTTACATTGGCTATGATTTCTTCCAAGTTAAGGGGTAATCTTGAGGGGGATGTCCGGTTTAAGAGACACTTTGCGGTGCTAGCAATTTGGCTTCTCCTATGATGAATGGATATGCTAATCAGTTTGTGTATCACCATTTCGGGGACGTTGATGAGATCAAGAATCTCAACTGCTGTAAGTTTGTCCTTGAGTGTTTGGTTGACAGGCATGCGAAGTGGATTCTGGATCCGAACCAGCCTTTTTCCGGTCATACTATATTCTTATTGGTACGAATTATTGCTGTAAAATATTTTGTATTCTACGTTTTTAGGTATAGTGAGCAGTATTCATCCATGGTTTTTGGTATGTGCGTTGTTGGGTTTTTGCGTGTGCACAAGGTTGTTGGTGGGCTATTTTTTTGCGTAGAGTAGAAAGCCGGGGCATGTTTTACTATTATGGTTTGTGCATTCTTGTTTTCGTGTGTGCACAATATTGTTTTATGTTAAAAGATTTTGAGGCTTCATATGTGTGTTTTCTTGGTTTGTGCATAGATGTGCGTCACCGTGTGCAAGTTAGGCTAATGTGGACTTGGCATTACGGGGTTATTTTTATTTATTTATTTTTATTTATTTTTATTTATTTTGGTTGTTTAGTTTTAGAATTTTATTTATTTTATTTTATTTTTTTTGGATGTAGTTTTAAGGTATTTATATTATGGTGTTTTTTTTTTTTTTGGTTTCTGTGCATTATTTTTTGTCATTCCCAAGTGACGTTGTTGTTGAGCCGGTAGTTGCTGTTGATGTGGTGGCACCTTTGCCACAGATCGATGCAGTCGAATTACCCCCTTAGCCCGCACAACCAGCCCCGGATTCGGATGGCTCAGATGTTGAGCCCGATGAAGTTGATGAGGCACTTTTACCCCCCGATGGTCAGACCGATTAAGCGATTTAATGCTTGCCAAAGGAAAGCTGTTGTTGAGCTGGGGTTGGGAGAGCTTTTGAACCTACAAGTCCATGACATCCCGAAGCCATTGGCCAGGTGGTTGCTCTCCAATTTCGATCCCGTGGCCATGTGTTTACGGCTGGAAAATGGGTCAGTGATTAATGTGTCAGAGGCTGATGTCCATTCCATTTTGGGGCTGCTTGCCGGTGAGGTTGTTAACACCAAAAGGCAAAAGGATGATATGAGCGACACCCTGAAGGAATGGCGATCCAAGTTTGAAAAGACCAATCATGCTGTTACATTGGCTATGATTGCTTCTAAGTTAAGGGGTAATCTTGAGGGGGATGTCTGGTTTAAGAGACACTTTGCGGTGCTGGCAATTTGGCTTCTCCTATGATGAATGGGTATGCTAATCAGTTTGTGTATCACCATTTCGGGGACGTTGATGAGATCAAGAATCTCAACTGCTGTAAGTTTCTCCTTGAGTGTTTGGTTGACAGGCATGCGAAGTGGATTCTGGATCCGAACCAGCCTTTTTCCGGTCCTACTATATTCTTATTGGTATGAATTATTGCTGTAAAATATTTTGTATTCTACATTTTTTTATTATGTGTTTTGGGTGCGAGTCCCTGATATTTGTCATTTTCAGTTGCTGTATGTGGATAAGGTAGTACACTCAGAGAGAGTTGTGCCCCGGGCGATGCCAGCACTGCGAGGTTGGACTACAAGTCTTTTAAAAGCCAGGCAACTATTTGAGTTCAGAATGGGCGGCTTTGGCCGCGGCGAGGTGGTGGGACCATTCATTCCGGATGCTGTTCGGTTAGATTCGATTGCTGCAGATGGTCCCAACCCGCAGGTATTTTTTTAGTCTACTTTCCCTTCACCGATTAGGTTCATTGTGGGTGTGTGCGTGTCAATGTAATTCGATTACTAAGTCGCTGTTTTTTTTTTTTTTTTTTTTGTGGATCGGTTTAGGCAAGTGATGCATGACGGGGTGTCCATCCACTTGATGCTATTGCTCCCGTTAAGGTAATTTGTTCTATTATTAAATAATATATTTCGTGGGGGGATTCGTGTTCTTGTATGTGCATAGGGGGTAATCGGTTGGTGCATAGCACTATCTCTGTTTGAATGTATGTTCTGGTTTGTGCATAAAGGGACATTAGTAAGTGCTTACTGCTTTCTCGGTGGGTAGGGCACGTTAATGGGGTTATAACATTACTGGCTTTGTCTTTGATTCTGAACGTGTTTTACTTTCACTGAGTATCCCTTTTGGTCGGTTTTTAAATTAATTTGCATATTTAATTATGTTGTGTGCGTAGTTGTAGGTAGGTGAATGCAGTATACTGTAAACAAGTTCTATTATTAAATAATAATATATTGT